GAGTGACCTACGATGACGGCGGAAAGAAAGTTGTGGATAAAAGTGCAACAGTGTGCAAGCATTGTGCAACACGTTTTGTTTATGCTAACAGCAACATGACAACATGTCATGCTAACCCCGAAATCCCACATACTCCGTCATGCTCCCCTCTGCCCCGCTGCGCTCCAGACCGCCTGCGCAAAGCAAAGCCTACAGCCTCCGCTGTGGCTCCCGTCCGCCTCGCTCTGAGATCGTAGAGGGCATGCGCAAGATGATTAAATTCAAAGCAGCAAATCGATCCTGGGTTTCCGCGGATCATTAAAAATAATTACAATTCATTAATTTTTTTTGGATTTTTTCATTAATATTTATGGGATTTCGGTGTAACAATCAACATATACCGAACCGAAAAACGTGACCACAAAACCGTGAACCGAACCGTGGATTTTGTGAACCGTTCCACCCCTAGCGTTGGCCCACCAGGAATAAACTCTATTGACTGGTGACTGGTCCAGCCCTGTTGTCACAGGTATATTCACAATATGGTCCATGCTGTAAAATATAGTGGTCACTTTAGCATTTCTTCTGTAAGGAAGGCTGAACTGAGAAGAAAATGCTTTTAAGGCTTCAAACCACTGAGCCACAGATTGACTTCACCAAATGAAATTGCTTTTACTGATATTTAGCTATAGACAATTTGAAAACCATATATCCTGTTTTTTCCAGCTTTAGTTATGCTCTTCTTGTGTTAAGATATTGCTTGACTTTCAAGCAAAATGACAAGTTGTTTGGTTTTTAGAGCCTAATTGTTTCTAACATGATAATCTCTCTTTTGTTTACAGACATTACTGCACTCAAAAAGTTGTCTAACAGGAAAACAAACGGCAAAGGCAACCACAATTTATCAGGAACACAAATCCTGTATGTATAATTTAGCTGCATAATCTTTAAAAATGCGACACTACTGCTAGTTTTACCACTGAAATGTACTTATGTTCTGCAGCAGCAGATGAAGCCTCTCAGGACTCTGTTATCGCTTCTGGTCCAAAGGTAGAACATCACTTTAGCCTACCTTAAGTATACTTTTACTTTTGTCATGTGCACAGCGTATTGTTTGATGTGTTGCAGGTAAAGGATCTGGCTCGGATGTTTTCAACTAAGACCATATAGGCATTGGTTTTCCAACTGAAGATGAGAAAAGAAAAAGACTTAAGACATTGGCTTAATCGTCTGTTTCTCAAGAAATATCTGACAGTACTCATATTGTGGCTCTCTGTAAGACAGTTGTACACTGTTTCTGCTAATAGTTTTCTAATGTTCAGGTGTTTGCTGAAGCTCTCTTTAAATATCAGCCTGTTAGCTCTGTTTTGATAGGCCTTGTTGTATTAAGGGCAGTGGTTGGCTTCAGCTGCCTTGGTCCTTATCCCTGCGCCCTGGGTGAGGTGGAAGTCTCAGCCTTTTTTCTAGCTTAACACCCTTGCTGTTTATGTGTGTGGGTGTGTTTGTGATGGGCTGGGGGTGAGTATGAGTGTAGTTATGTATAGGTTGGATTTTATATGTGAGAGGTAATTTGAATGACATTTATTGTATGAAAATTGATTTATGAATAAAGTATAATATGATTTGTTTTTGAACATTTTGTATCATATTGTATTGCATTTCAAGGTAATCGTAGGAGGACCAGAGACTAAAAAGTATAAAAGTATCTTTATTTTGCACATAAAATTTAAAAAGTGTTTCAGCTGCTCTCTTTATGATAAAGTACATTGATTGCAGTAAGATGCAGGTCACACGATACAGACAGAGCTGTAGACATTTAGCTCTTTCTATTCTTATTCATCTACAGGTGAGGGGGTTGTTTGATTCAGGGAAGCCATAAAATAACCAATTACCTTTTTTGTGCATTAAAACCGCTGAGATATATATTGTCAGCAGTGATAGGAGAGGTCTGGTATAATTTTCTCTACATTTAGAAGTCAGAAAATCAGTAAAGATGGTGAAATGAATACTGTATTATTGTATTATTATCTGGGGTAATAAGTGATCATTAGTACACAGCAAATTTTGAAATGTTACTTTGACTCCTAGGGAGTTAAATTCAGTACTTTTCAAGTATATAATATATAAACTCGTCTACACTAAACTGAGTTAAAATAAAACTTGGAAAGTGTTAAATGGTTAACAATGAGTGAGTTATAATACCACTATTAGTAGTTTTATTTCAACACTCATCAAGGTTTTATCTAACACTGGATTCAGTGGATTACTTTGTTGATGTTAAAAAAGTGTTTTGGTGGATAATACACTGTTTATTTTGGGAGAAATTCAAATAAATAGAATAATTATTACTTTTGTCACAAATTAATCACTAACGGTTACATAGGTGGTGCTACTAGAATAGTCTTAACTTTACAGAGGTACCAGAGCTTTGTATTTAGACCATTTATTTCAATTTTGTATTGTATGGCAGCAAATGGCTTCGAAAAACGCCCAGTGTTAAAGGTAACAGTCATTGAGAATTGAATACTTCCATATGAACTGTCTCAGCTCCATCAAAGGACCTGATGCCTTCAGCTGTGCTTCTGCTGTATATATTTTAACATGAGTTTTGATGAGTATCCAAAGATGACGCAGTTTCATAAATCATTTCTATTACACACATTATAACTTAAAGAAAAGACACATACCCTACAGTAAATCATTAAATGAGCTGGCAGTGGCCTCAGCTCTCAAGCCTCTTTCAAACTGAAGGCACATTCAAAGTAGCCCCCTGCCCCCACCTCGGCTGGTTAGACCACCTATCTGTCATGCTTCTTCCAGCATACAGGCCCTTGCTGATCAGAACAAAACCTACGATGAAGGAGGTGTGGACTGAGGGTGCCATGGCGGTACTCCAGCACTGTCTTGAGTGCTCTGACTGGAATGTGTTCAAAGCTACAGCTACATATGACAACAAGATCAATATTGATGAGTATGCCATGACTGCGTCAGCCGACATCAACAATTGCAATGCAAAATCAGCACCGTAAGAACATCATCACCCGGGCCAACCAATGACCCTTGATGACTGGGGAGGTTTAAAATTAGCTAAAAGCACAGATCTCAGCCTGGTTTTTGTTTCTTACCCTCCTTCCAGGGGCCCCTGTCCGCCCTCCCTGGGTGTTTTTATTTTGTGTTTTCTTTTCTTCTTGTTCTTTTTTCCAGATGATGTTTGGCCTCTAAGAGCATCTGGTAACCGCCTACTAGGGGGATACTGTTATGGTTCTCCCCTTGTGGGCCTCTGAGTTTATTTATTTATTTTTTGTTTTGTTGATATTTGGTTTATTTTCCAGTAGCTACAAGCAGTCTTTAGTTACTCTCTGTTGCCCCCTTGTGTTTGTTTCCTTTCCCCTTGGCCCCCTCGTCAGTTCCACTCACACATGCTCCATATTTAGCTCATTAGCTCATCCTTTGTTCTGTTCCCCTTATATACTCCACCTCTGCAGTCACTCAGTGCTGATTCCCTGTTGTTTAGTTGCTGTCAGTTGCTTCCTCGTCCCTGGCCTCCCATGTGAGTTTTCCCTGATACTTTCTGGTGTTTTTTTTGGCCATTTTGTTTTGTTTGATAGCTGCCTCAGTTATTCATTAAACCTACAAGACCTCATCTCTGCTTCTCTGGTCTCTGCATTTGGGTCCTTAAACAACCCCCAACCAAACTGTCACACTGGAAGGATAGGACCATTCAGAGAGAGCTAAGAAGAAGACTCCTGGATGCCATTGGCTGCTATGAAGGCTTGGAGAGCTTGTTTCTGCTGACGTCATCAGGATGAACAGTTCTCCCTGTGCTAACTCTCTGTTTAAACTGCCATTTAGCAACCAGAGCAATCACTGTTTGGGCGTGTCAAACCACAAAGGCAATGTCTGAAAAACTAAAAAGTCTTCCATGTATTTCCTTGTTCCGAAGTGCAGTAGTATCCTGCACCACAGGGTTTTACTTTTTATTTTTTCCCTTGAAAGAGAAACCACAGAAACGGGGCGTGTTGTGTTTGAGTTTCTGCCTTCTGACAGCTCGCTCATGTTTAATGTTTTACTTTGTTCTAAGGATATTTTACCATCTGTGTTCATATGTATTGTAAACACAATCACTTGATCAAGGGTTGTCATCCTGAAAGATACAATAAGATCACTGTATATGGATCTATCAGAAAATAACAGGACAGATCTGATTTGTCAAAAATCATTTTTATTTACAGAGTTATTTAATATAATTTTGCTATTATTTTATTTTTATAAAAGCCTGAAAATGTTTGAAGATGAATTCAGCTATTGCATGTTTAATCATGTTTATTACCTGAGTATTATATGTGAAGTATCTGGATCAGATCTGGAAAAATACCTATTCTGGATCCGCATAAGTTGAATCCATGAAAAAAACTGTGAGATAGTGGTTTATGGATCTTTCAGATGTACCGGTAAGATCCTTACAAATCCAATAAAAATATATTTGCCAAGTATGCAAGCATATCTTCATAAATTAGGCTTGTGGATCCAAGTATTCCAAGTTGTACATTATTTTTCTGTCTGATATATATTTTCTATCTGTTATATAAAAAAATTTAATAATGTACAGATCTTTTCCAGCATCATGTTAGTGTAGCTTTTCCACAGGTAAAATAACTGAAGATGACATATAAAGAAATCAAAAATGCATTTTTGACTGTTTCAACTTTTATTTCTTTATTTTGACATTGTACAATACTTCTGTTTAAATTTTACCTTTAAGTGCAGCTGGAAAAACAAAGCGGTGATATCAGAAAACAATCAACACAAGTCATTTTCATTTTGCCTCAGTGTTTCTAATGACTAATGAATTTTAAGTAATAAGTTTCTGGTGTGGCCAATGTGAAAAAGCACGGACAAAGAGAAGTCAGTAGTTTAGAGCAACAGTGCGAACCAGTAGCAGGAACAGAGCAAAGACAATATCAGCCCATAAATAAGCATACAGTTTTCTAATTCGTCGTCCAAAGGATGTCGAAAGAGACTCCAAAGTCAAGGTTCTCACATCAACACTGTTAATGGTTCCGACCTATTAGCCCCCGGAAGGCATCATTGCTAGTTGTGTCTCGTCTGATGACATGAGTGTCGTCGGAAAAAGGTATTCAGCTATTCACTCCAGTTAAACAAACAGAGATCGATGCATTTCACTTGGTCAGCATTTTTTTTTTCATTTTAGCAAAGTGAAAACAAGACATCGCATAGCCCTTATGGGTGTTCAACCCTGTTGTGATCTAGACAGAGTTTGTCTTCCTTACTTACAATGATGGAAATGTTGAAGGCTGTGTCAGAGGCAAAACAAATCTCTACCGAAAACAAAGACAGACAGTTTGGAGAAAGAGTCTAAATGTTATGAGAATCCAAAGCACTCCCTAATAACAAACTGCTCTTTCTTGGACTTTTTGTGGCCTTGGAGCTCTAGGAGGAATGAATAAAACTCAGCACTCATAAATCTTTCTCTCGCTCTCTCTCTCAAATTCTATATATATATATATATATATATATATATATATATATATATATATATATGCAATCACTCCGATACATTATCTGCGGTATTACACATCATTACTATAGTGCATATATCAATGTAATTGTTTATATTTTTAAGAGAAAAAAACAGATGAATGTCTATGCTTCCGAATGTAGGAAAATCAACATTTAGGAAAGAGAAATGCGTGACCATTCTTATAGTATTTCCTTTTTTTCCGCAAAGATTAAAAGACTCAATTTTTCTCTTAAAGATATACTTTGGTTCTCAAGCACAAAATCTATGCTAAACTGTGATGTCATTGCATCATCTCATCGATTATGGTTTTAAACCATGTTTTTCCTTCTTCTTTGTAAATAGTAGCTTTGTTTAGTTGAGTTTCACTAGTTTTTAGTCAACAGTCTAACTGAAATATCATGATGTTGGCACTGATGACTGGCCAGATTATTTATTTCATTTACCTGCATAGCTCCACCCAGTTCTCATTACAGTTCATCTACGTTCCACCTGCTTCAGCCTCTTTTTAACCAGCCTTCAACCAGTCATCAGTGCTGATCCTAGTTCCTGAGCACGTCGTCAACATCAGCTTTAGCTTATCTCTTTGGATTACCCTGCCTTCCTTCGTCTGCTCGGTTCTGATTTCTTGGCTGTACTCAGACCTCCAGGACTACAGTGTCCTGGACTCTCTGGATAGCGCCAGCGGCGTCTTGTCGGCTAGAAACAACCTCGTCTTTTGTGCATGTACTGAACTTTAAGACAGGAGGTTCCAGCCTTAGACACCATCACTATTTTCTACTGCGAAGTCTTATATAAAAACTGCTATAATTCTTAAAATCTGTCAGCCAAAATGCTGAACATACAAACATTTGAATACAGCATGATAAGATCCAGGTATGGTTCAACTAGAAGTTGTGCTATAGCCATGTATGTGATTAAGCAATAGCAAACACTTCAATTGTAAACAGTTCAATTGAAGTGACATGGTTAAGGGCTGCTTCCCTGCTTTGGGGGCTGCAAACCCTAAAGCGACTCAAAGAACCATTAATTCTG